TGCGTCCGTCCACTGCTCCTCTGCGTGCCCCTTTGCCTTCTCGTCCTGAGTCCTCTCTTCCTGCTCTTCCTGACCCGGAGTCGGACTCTCTTCGTGCTGCCAGTCCTACTGTCACGCGTCTCCTTGCTACTGTTGTCACTGACCCTTCCTTTGAGTCCACTGCTGCGTCTGCCCTAGTTACTGAGCTCGTCGACTTTGCTGCTCGCTGTCGTCTAGACTACGCTGCTAGTCTTGTTGCTGAGTCTGAGTCTGTCTGTCCTCCGTCCGTCGGGGGTGAGTGTGCCCTTGGCACGGACGTCCTTGAGGACAGGCAGGAGGAGTTCCAGTGTTTGGCTGCTGCTTCACCTCATCTCGTGTCCGTACTGCTTACCCCCGAGGGAGACCCGGATGCACTTGACATCCCGACTCCGCGCTCTTACGCGGAGGCGATAGAGGGTCCCTACTCCTCTCAGTGGCAGGCAGCTATGGACGCAGAGATGGCTTCCTGGAAGTCCACAGGCACCTACGTTGACGAGGTTCCCCCGCCTGGGGCGAACATCGTCAGTGGCATGTGGATTTTCAGGGTGAAGCGGCCGCCAGGTTCTCCGCCTGTCTTCAAGGCGCGTTACGTGGCTCGTGGCTTCAGTCAGCGGCAGGGAGTTGACTACTTTCAGACCTTCTCTCCCACCCCGAAGATGACCACTCTTCGGGTACTGCTCCACATAGCTGCTCACCGCGACTACGAGCTGCACTCTCTTGACTTCAGCACTGCTTTCTTGCAGGGCAGCCTGCACGAGGAGATCTGGCTGCGTCGCCCACCTGGCTTCGCTGGGTCTTTTCCTCCTGGCACCCAGTGGAGCCTCCGGCGGCCAGTCTACGGTCTCCGCCAGGCACCGCGTGAGTGGCACGACACACTGAGGACTACACTTGCGGCTCTTGGGTTTGCTCCCTCTACTGCCGACCCGTCGCTGTTTCTGCGCACCGACACTTCTTTGCAGCCGTTCTACATCCTCGTGTACGTCAACGACTTGGTCTTTGCCACAGCTGACACTGCTGGACTCGCCCACGTGAAGTCCGAGCTGCAGAAGAGACACACGTGCACAGACCTGGGTGAACTGCGCAGCTACCTTGGCTTGCAGATCACCCGGGACAGAACACGCCGCACCATTACCCTGACTCAGTCACACATGGTGCAGCAGGTCCTTCAGCGCTTCGACTTCACGTACTCCTCGCCTCAGGCCACTCCTCTGCCTACTCGCCACTCGCTCTCAGCTCTGCCTTCGGATGAGTCCGTAGAGTCGAGTGGCCCGTACCCAGAGCTTGTTGGCTGCCTCATGTACCTGATGACCTGCACACGACCTGACCTTGCATACTCTCTTAGCATTCTTGCACGCTATGTTGCTCCTGGGAGACACAGACCGGAGCACATGGCTGCAGCGAAGAGGGTGTTGCGCTACTTGTGCAGTACGTCGGGCATGGGGCTTGTGCTTGGAGGGCAGAGTCCAGTGGTCCTCACTGGACACGCAGACGCTTCTTGGGCTGACGACCAGGCTACGCAGCGGTCGTCACAGGGTTACACCTTCAGCCTTGGTTCCGGCTCTGTTTCGTGGCGGGCTACTCGCTCGTCTTCTGTTCTCGGCTCCAGTTGTGAGGCTGAGATCTACGCCGGGGCCATGGCTGCACAGGAGCTTCGCTGGCTCACCTACCTGCTGACTGACCTCGGAGAGCCGCCTCGTTCTCCTCCAGTGCTCTACGTAGACAACAAGGCCATGCTGGCCTTGTGTCGAGAGCAGAGACTGGAGCACAGAACGAAGCACATTGCTCTTCGCTACTTCCTTGCTCGTGAGCTACAGCAGCGTGGTCAGCTGCGACTTGCGTACGTGGCCTCTGAGGCCAACACTGCTGATATCTTCACCAAGGCACTTGCGCCTTGTGATCATCAGCGCTTCTGTACTCAGCTGGGTCTTGTACCTACCTTGCCTCACTTGCTCACCTCTTGACCTTGTTTGTACTGTTGCATATATATATACTCCTGCTCTTGCTTGTCTAGCCTTATATATATATGTAATCCTGCATGTGAACTGGCCTTGTGGCCTTGAACTTGTGCTCGGAATGTGTGGTGACTTTGTGATCCACCCTGAGCTTGCTTTGCTTTGCTTGACTGGTCTTGTGACCCCTTGTTCTCCCCCACTTTGCCTATGGGGGTGTGTCAGAGTTATATGACATAGCTACTGTAGGCTATAGTGGGGTAGCACATATGGTGTACAGTTGCCTAGGGTTTGCCTTTTGTACCCAACTTTCACTTAGTTATTCGCACTCATGTTTTCTTGATTCACACAGCGTACACTCCTCCTCAATGATGTAGCTAGCGAGGGTGTCCTCGTCCAGCTCCTTGCGCACCTGCGGCAGTTTCAGCATCCTGCGTAAGAGGTTATACTACTGCGGCGACCCCTTCACGACGTGTCTTATGTACGACGCCTGTGAGTAATCTACGCCAACCATCCTTAGGTTCATTAGGATCTGCTGCACACGATTGCAATAGGACGTGGCGGACTCGTGCTCTCCCATCTCGAGGTTAGTGAGCGCCTGCTCTAACTGGCCTATGTACAGGTTGTCCTTCGCCATATACGTGCACATAATAAACTGCCACGCTCCGCCGTCCTACATTCGCACGCTCTCGTGACGCCGCTGCTCGATGAACACGCTCCTGTACACCGCCGACGCTAGCCGTACTAAACCGGGTCGGTCCTCGCAGGACCCCACGCGACATCAACTCATCAAGCTCCTCGTCATTGCTATTTCTGCCATCGACAGCCATATCCCACGCACTAGTACCTCCCGCAGCTTGCTCAACATTCTCTACACGTGGCAAGGGATGATCGCGACACCGACGAGCGCGTAATCCCTCCTGCATGAGCTCGTACTCAATATCACTAAACTCACCACGAGAATGGCAGGCTACGATATCCTCCTCTAATGCACGAATATTGCCGGCCTCAACGTTCGCCTCCTTCGTACTCATCCTCTACGACGTCTCTATAAGGTACCACAAATTATTATAAAATGTCCCTTGCTTAAATCCCTCGTCTCGGGGTCACCTCACAAGGGTCCTCAGACGAGTGATAATGAATTACCAAACGCCCTATCCTTAAGCCCGTGAGCGTAACTGGAGGGAAATTAAGAGAGGTTCAACTTAAATTAATGAGCGCCCTTCACTAACGCCACACGCCAAGGCAAGTATGCTAACGAACATCGACGGAAAGCTATGCATGTTCGTTCCACGCTCAACGCACCATGAAGGAATACTATGGAGAGCGTAGCGATAGCGAGATAGTTTCTGATATGAGAATAGTGTTGCGCCAGCAACTCGGTAGCGTTTCAGTAGCGTTCGTCTTCAAGGACTTGGTGAGAATTCAAGTAGCAATTGGACTTCACAAGAAATGTAATATGATCCATGAATACAAAAGCAAACACACATGCAAATATAGGCAAGCAAGAGTTGCACAAATGTTGCGTGGCGCTTTTGTGTAACCCAACCCCACGAAAGTGGTGTACGGGTGGGTGAACGCGCCCTGCCGAACTTCCATCCAACTCAGCAGCGAAATGCATTCCGTGCACGCCACTCCAGCCAACACTGCAAGGAGCGAGTGTTGGTTGGATTGGAACAGACGACTACTACTACATACACCCGTGCACGGGAAAGAAAGGCAAGATGATAGAAATAGGTGTTGAGCTGGAATGAACGATTTTCCTACAGTAAAGGGCCTGCCATCGTCATCATGACTCAACAGTCATGTTGGCTGCCGAGGCGTCACGCGAAGTTGCGAGCTTACCCGTGAAGGAGGAGCTCTTGCCGCGTCACACGCACGACCGCGGCAGCAGAAACGACACTTGTTGCTCATCGACTTAGGAACTAGCACCATATGCGTCTCATCATTGTCTACCGTGACAAGTCAAGTCTCATCTCAGTCGCTTCTCATCCCATGGGTCGACGTGAGCAGCGTCGCCCGGCACTGCCGTCGTCCGACGATCGCACTGGTCGTCGTTGTCGTCGTCGCCCGATGCCGCGCTGAGTCATGGCGCCCCCCCGGCTCCACGCGCATCACACGCGAGGCCTCCTCTTTCTTGGCAAGAACCAAAGACCTTTCGTCGTCCACCGCGACAGTAAAGGCTGCCGTTTCCCCGCTGTGCCCTCTTTAGCGCTTTGGAAACAAACAAAGTTCGTATAAGCAGCCTTTGCCAATACAGCTCAAGCGACGGCGACATGGTTTAGTGAGACCCACCACTTCGTGCTCCGCCACTTCCATCGTCCCAAGAAGACTCTTATAATCTTGGAAACACGAATAACAGTACATGCCAGTCGTTGCAAGGTCCAAGTATCTCGAAACACGTGGACTTCCAAGTCGAGTCGAGTTTCGACGCTGAAAATCTCGCTATTCGTGTTGATTCTGTCTCCGCCAAGGCGTTTCGCACACTCAAGTTTCGACTGGGAGAAAAAATCCTGGAAACGCAGGCTCAGCCTTTCCCAGGCGGGCAAAGCAGCCGTGGCACCAGCTTTGAGTTTTTTCAGAAGCGACACATGCACAGCCGTGACTCCCCTGCCGCTGCATCACCACACTACTCCACTGCAGTCGTTGCTCAGCTTAGCACGTCTTGCCTGCCTTCTTTCCGTCTGAAGAGACATGGCCGACCGGCGCGGCTTCTCCTTCCCTCTGCTCTGCTGCTGCTGCTGCTGCTGGCGGGGCTGCTTCTGCTGCCGCCGTGCCCTGCTGCCGCCACTCGCATCAACGACGCCCAAGGTCGCTCGCTCCCCCCCCTAACTGCACCCCTCCTCGCCTCTCACTTTCCCCCGCTCTACCTACTCTACCTCGCTAAATACCCAACTCACTCCCCATCCTTCTACCTCCCTTCCCCCTACCTCCCTCAGGGAGTCCCTCCTGCCTCACCCCTGCCCTCTTCGGCCTTCCCTCCCCCCACGCTCACCCTGCCTGTCCCCTGCCTCCCCCACGAGCCCCTGGCAGCGCGGGTGCTGGAGGAGTGCGCTGCAGAATGGGGCTCTTACTCGTGGCACGGTTGGGAGTTTCCGCCGCCCGATTGGCGGGTGGGGGGCGACTGTGACACGGCGGATTTAATTAAATGCGACGACAACGGGCTCATCACTGAAATGTTGATCGACAACTCGCCTATCCCTGATTGGCAGTATGATTACAGGTAGGAAGGAGGAGATGCGGAGAGAAGAGGGAGGGAGGGAGGGAGGGAGGGAGGGAGGGAGGGAGGGAGGGAGGGAGGGAGGGAGGGAGGGAGGGAGGGAGGGAGGGAGGGAGGGAGAGAGGGAGGGAGGGAGGGAGGGAGGGGGGTCTGCGACACCCAGGGGAGGGCGCGGTGGGCCACAATGGCCACTGACATTTCGTCACTGTGCTGTAGCTGTGCTTCACTCTTCTGCTGCTTCTGTGCCTGTTCGTGTGTGCCCGCGCGTGCGTGCGTGTGACCGTGCGGGTGTGTGCCTGTGTGTGTGCTTGCTTGTGTGTGTGCATGTGTGCCTGTGTGTGCTCAACACAACACAACAGGTTGACTGAATTGCTAGTTCTATCTGGATCCATCCCAACAGCGCTTGGCACTCTCACCTCTCTCACCTGCCTGTACATCTCGCAGCTTTATAAACGCCTCTCAGCTGTCGGTGCACTTCCCTCACTACTCTGTATAGCCCTATGCCGCTCCAAAGCGAGACGTGCAAGCATTTTGTATGGCCTTCATGCCTTTACCACTCTCTAACCTCTTTTACCACTCTACGTGGCTCCGTACGCTTTCACACATACCCGCTGTGTGATCTTTGAGGCATCTCGAGGCTACGTCTGTATCACACATCTAGGGGACCCTGTGTGTGTGCTTTCCTGTCCTGCGGTAGCCTTTTCCAGGCACTCCTCATCCTTCTCCCCCGAAACACCTTGGGGGGGACGAAGCACTCAGAGGGTAAAAAGGGTATCTCTTCATCCGTCTCTTTATTTATCGTGTCTCACCCCATTCTCCATCTCTTTATTTCTCACGCCTGACCCCCTCTCTGCTGTGCTGCGACCTATGCTGCAACCCTTTTCAGGCTCCTCACCAGCGGTATTCCTCCCTGCCTCTGTCCTCTGTACTCCGTCCCCACTAATTGCCCCATCCCACACCCTCTGTGCTGTCATCCTATGTGCGCATCCACATCCTTCCCAGCCGTATCCACCCCTTGGCGCATTCTCACCGCCTGTTTCTTTGATCCTCACTTTCTGTGTGCTGTGCTGCAACTTGCTCAGAAATCTGCGTCACAACGCCCTAGATGGCCCCATCCCGGCATCCTTCACCGCGCTCGCCTCGCTCGCCCGCCTGTAAGAGGCAGGCAGACATGTGTAGGGCCGTGGGAGGGAGGGAGGGCGGGAGGCTGAGAGGGAGGGGGGGGAGGGGAAGGGAGGGAAGGAGTGAGTGAGGGAGGGAGGGAGGGAGGGAGGGAGGGAGGGAGGGAGGGAGGGAGGGAGGGAGGGAGGGAGGGAGGGAGGGAGGGACGGGTTAGCCCTCTGCCCCGTTGCCCTAGCCCCCTGCCTTATGTAGGCTAGACATGAGCACAAGGGCGAACACCTGTTCGGTTCGCCTCGAATGTTTTTTTTGCTTAAAGTGTTCGCCAAACAGTGTTCGATCTTCGCCCGAACACGTTCGTGTTCAGGCCGCTGCTGCGATTTGCCCCGCGACGAACACGAACGTGTGCGAGGTTCGCCCACACGCTTTCACAGGCGAACGGCGAACACCTGTTTTTGCTTAAAGTGTTCGCCGAACCGAACAGTGTTCGGTTCGGCAAACGGATGTGTTCGTGTAGGGGCGAACACGAACACGAATCGTGTTCGCCCCTTGCTCATCCCTAATGTAGGCTGGGAGGGTCTTCATTTCCTCATTATTCCCGTGCGGGTCCATATTTCTTTGTCTCCCACTTCACCCCTGCCGTTTCCTTCTCTCTCCTTCATTTCGTGCATTCTTGCATTGGTATATACCCTTTCTGACGTGGGAATCGAGGACTGACTCGCACCTGTGTTGTGTGGGGCAGTGCAAATGTGCGCTAGAAGTGTGACTGTCTTTGTCTCGCTCTTCTGCATTCCTCACGTGTCTTAACCTGAAAGCCCTCTCCTGCTCTCTCACTTGTTCTCCCATTTCAAATCATGTCTGTCCGTCATTATCCTGATTTCTCACTTTTAGACTTGGCAAGTCTAGCGTTGGGTCTCACTGCATTGGGCAGGGCAGCATTGCGTAGCGGTGCATTGCTCAGCTCAGCATTGACCAGCACAGGATTGGGGCAGCGCAGCATTGGGCATTGCAGCATTGATCAACATAGCATTGGGCAGGGCAAATGGAGTGGGCAATGCAGCTTTAAGTAGTGCAAGATTGGTCAACACAGCATTGGGCCCGCAGCATTGGATAGCGCAGCATTAATCATCGCAGCATTGGCCAAGGCAAGAGTGTGCAATGCATTACGGGTAGTGCAGCATTGGTAATGCACCAATGAACAGTGCATTGTTCAGCAACGCGGTATTGGGGCTGCGAAGCATTGGGCAAGCAGCGCCGCATCGGTCAGCGTGGTATTGGGCAACGCAGCATTGGTCAGCACCATCGAGCAGTGCAGAATTGTGTACGCAATAGCAATACCAGGCATGGCAGCACTTGGTACACAAAGCATTGGCGATGCAACGTTGTGCGACGAAGCATTATTCAGCGTGACATTGGTCGCAATGCTGCTTGGGCAACACGGCAGTGGACAATGCAGCATTGGATAGCGCAGCATGGGGCAGAGCAGCATGGGGCAGAGCAGCATGGGGCAGCACAGAATCTAGCAGTCCAGCATCGGGCCATGCACCTTTAGGCAGTCTAGCATTGAGCAACTTCTGGGTATCACAGCATCGGGCAGTGCAGCATTGGGCAGTGCAGCATCCTCTCCACGGCCCTCCATCTCCCATGGCCCGCATGTCCCTATCGCAGCGATCTCTCTTACAACCAGCTGTCTGATGTCATTCCTCCTGACATAAGCGCCTGCACGGCCCTCCAAGAGCTGTGAGTGTGCCAGTCATTGGCCACCAAGCAACCATTGTCACCGAGAAACCCATGCCTCCCTCCTGTGCCGTGTCTCACTCTCATGCTGTCATCATACCCCCCACGTGCATGCCAACGTCGTGCGTGTCGCCCGTCACAGAGATATCTCCAACAACCAGCTGTCTGGTGCCATTCCCCCTGGCATAGGAGTCCTCACATCCCTTTGTTACCTGTGAGTGTGCTAGTCATTGGCAAACAAGCAGCCATAGACGACCAAGCAACATAGGCATTGTCACTCATGCTTGAAAGGGCAGCAACCATAGGCAACGTGAAAAAAATGCTTGAGCTTGAAAGAATGGAAGTAAAAGACAAAGTTAGCTGAAACATATTTGATGGCAAAAACTGCTTCAGTAAAAGAAATCATGGTGCAAGCAACTCGTAAAGGGAGTTGGAGACTCAATTCGAGCTCCGAACCTCTCCTAGTGGAATGACGATCTCAAGCGTCTTCATCAGGACCGTTGATAAGCCCCGCATCGCCCACACAAATGACTTTTGCAAGTTACGTGCGCACCTTCATGCAATCGAATCGTTACCCATGTAAGAAACACGTTAACTGAAACGATTTTCGAGGCGCTTCAAGAACCATAGACGACCCAGCAATCCGTAGTGTTTGGTGCATGGAAGGGCAATGTTGCCTTGGGTTGGGTGTGTGCCTGCCTTGGTCCTCACGTAGATAGTGATCGGCCCTCATAAGAACCCTCACGGACCTCCAAGAGCTGTCAGTGTGCCTGCCATTGGCCTCCAAGCAACCATTGATCACCAAGCAATCCATGCCTCCCTCCCTTGCCACCATGCCTCCCTCCCTTGCCATGCCTCACTCCCATGCCATGTCTCACTGTAAGAAAACGAGTAGAATCGGTTGATTAGAAAGAGATACATGGAATTAAATAGGACAAGCTAGGAGGGGTGAGGTGAGGTGGATAAGGTGTAATCAGGAGGGGATTCAAAGGGAGTCAATCCAAATCAATAAGATTTTGGATGGATAGGTAGGTTTGGATCTTAGTTGGTCCTCTACGTTTTTTAAGGTCACGTAAACGTAAACTTACGCATAGGTTTACCTTTACGTGTTCTTACGAGTAAGTTTAGGGTAGGGCAATTTTTGTTTTGTTTTGTTTTGTCTACGAAAATGGAAAAATCTGACTGATATGAGGCGGGAGAGGCTGTGACATGTCGGTGTAGATGAGGGGCATCTGTAAGTTGATGTAATAATGTGCTAACATGCTTGGGCATAGAAGAACCAAGCCAGATTTATTAGGCGCTTCCCATGTAGCCACTTGGGCAGATGAATTATTTTCTTTCTGGACAGCCAGAAATGTTTCTGGCAGACTGTAAACGTAAAGCCGTTTTGGGCCCACGTAAGGTAACGTAAGTTTACTACGTAAGTCATGTACACGTAAACCCCCGTAAATGTAAAATGCCAACTAAGGTTTGGATGAGGTTGGATAGGTTGAGGATGAATAGCCTACACCCGACCCAACCAAAAACTAAAGTTACTAAAAGTTAAAGACCAATAAGCAGGATGCAGCCTATTTCCAACACTCCCTCCCATGCTGTCACCATACCTCCCACCTGCCATGCCAACGTCCCAATCACTCCGCAGCTCCCCTTGCCCGCATGTCCCCCACCACTGCGATCTCTCCAACATGCAGCGTCACGTGTCATGTCAATGCCCATACTGCCCTTTATTCCCCACATGTCCCCTCGCAGCCGTCTCTCCAACAACCAGCTGTCTGGTGCCATCCCCCCCCCCATAGGCGCCCTCACATCCCTTACGTACCTGTGAGTGTGCCAGTCATTTGCAAACAAGCAGCATAGACGACCGAGCAACATAGGCATTGTCACTCATGCTTGGAAGGGCAGCAACCATAGGCAAATTTATAAACGCTTGAGCTAGAAAGAACGGAAGCAAATAACGATCTTAGCTAAAACAAATCTGATGGCAAAAACTGCTTCAGTAAAAGAAATCATGGTGCAACTCGTAAAGGGAGTTGGAGACTCGCTTCAAGCTCCAAACCTCTCCTAGTGGTATGATGATCTCAAGCATATTCATCAGGACTGTTAAAAAGCCATGCATCGGCCACACCAATGATTTTTTTCAAAGTTACGTGCGCAACTTCATGCAATCGAATCGTTACCCACGTAAGAAACACGATTTTCGAGCTGAAACGATTTTCGAGGCGCTTCAAGAACCATAGACGACCCAGCAATCCGTAGTGTTTGGTGCATGGAAGGGCAATGTTGCCTTGGGTTGGGTGTGTGCCTGCCTTGGTCCTCACGTAGATAGTGATTGGCCCTCATAAGCGCCCTCACGGCCCTCCAAGAGCTGTGAGTATGCAAGCCGTTGGCCACCAAGCAGCCATCATCACCAAGCAATCCATGCCTCACTCCAATGCCATGTCTCACTCCCATGCTGTCACCATACCCCCCACGTGCCATGCCAACGTCCCAATCACTCCCCATCTCCCTGGCCTCCATCACAGGAGTCTCTTCAACAACCAGCTGTCTGGTGACATTCCTCCCTCCATAAGTACCCTCACATCCCTCAAAGTCATGTAAGTGTGCCAATCATTGTCAACCAAGCAGTCATAGGCAGCCAAGCAGCCCATGCCTCAATCCCATGCCATGCCTCACTCCCATGCCATGCCTCACAACATGCTCACGGAAAGCATTCCCACGGGAATGGGCAACTTGGTTCGGCTTGAGGGCCTGTCAGTGGAACCACCTCCCTCTCCCTGTCGCAGCCAGTCCATACCATACTCTGTTGCAACTCCCCATTCACATATTCTTTCAATGCTTCATGCATGTATGCATGCATATGCTCTCACATTCCCCATGATTTCTCATTCCTTGTGCCCTCCACACCTCACATGCAACCTCTCTCTCTCATCCCCTGCTCTCACCTTTTCTGCTCTTTACCTTTCCATTCCAGTCGTTGTCGACTGTAAACTCAGGAATCGCCTTGGTCCTCTGAATGCGCCCATCACAGGGACCTGGAGAACAACAGGTTGGGAGGCACCATCCCTGACTCCCTGAGTGCCCTCACCAACCTGATCTACCTGTCAGTCGGTCGCCCCCTCCCACGCGCTCCCTGCCTCACAGCCCGTTCCTACCCTTCCCTCAGGCTCACGCCACAACTGTGCATCACTCTCCCTCTTGCACGCATGTCTGCGTAGAGAGAATCAACCGCTTAGCACTGATTTGGCTTTTCCTTCACTCAAACAAGAGTTTTTCCACACAGCTAGTGTGTGATTGCGCTTACCCCGTGCTGCGTGCCGCGTGCTGCTCTCAGGTCAATGGGCAACAACGAGCTGGAAGGGCCAATCCCTGCCTTTCTCTCTTCCTTCACTAAAATTTGCGCCCTGTCAGTGTTCCCACACTCACCTGTCAAGGCGAAGCCACCAGAACCGCTATCATATATTTCTTTCCATGAGCATCGACCCCTCTTATCTCCCCAAGCCCCCACCCAGATTCTATTTTCACACCCTCTCCTTCGTCCATCCTCCCTCTCTCCCTCCCTCCCTCCCTCCCTTCCTGCTGGCTGCCGTTGCCTGACCGCCCCCCAGCATGCTCTATGACAACCAGCTCTCAGGCTCCATTCCTGCTGACATTGGCAACCTTGCTCCTCTAGAGAAACTGTGAGCACCATCCCCGCCCCCACCCTTCGTCTCTCCTCTGTTCTGACCCCTTCTTCTTCTGATCCCTCGCCCAGTGCGCTATTCAACAACAAGCTGACCGGAGCCATACCCACTTCTATAGGCGCCTTGACCAACCTCACTGTCCTGTGAGGGAGGGAAGGAGGGGGGAGAGCGACTGAGTGTGCAAGGAAGGTGTAGCGAGAGAGGTGCAGATGAGTGGTAACCATGTGGATGTCTTCACGAGAGATAGAGGGAGAGGTGGTTACCACATCGCCCATCCTCACGTGAGAGTCTTGAGTAATCGCAACCATCTAGTCGTGGTATCGTTCCGTTCCGCACACATAGCTTCCTATTGTCATGCTGTCCGGAGAAGTCCACAACCTCAATTGTTAGGGAGTGGTAAACGTTGGTTAAAGGTGGCGTTTTAAAAAAGATGTTAGGAAGCACTCATCTGTAACAAGCATTACATTACACCTCATGTCGAGATGGTTATCTGCCGTGTGTTGCGCCCATTGAAGGTTTGAACTGCTGTTGAACAATGTTGTGGCGCGCCCTTCCATGCCTTCCAATCCATGATGTGCTGTGCATGCCATGCCATCCCACCCCATGCCACCTCTCCACTCAAATTTCTCGTTACCACTCTCCTTCTTTCTATACCGCTTTCCGCGTCACACATACCTCTACGTCCCGTCTCTCCTCTCTTCTGAACCCTCTTCCTCCTCGCCCAGCATGCTTGGCAAGAACACGCTGTCAGGAGCCATACCCACTTCTATAGGCGCCTTGACGAACCTCTGTGACCTGTGAGGGAGTGGGGGAGGGAGGGAGAGAAGGGGACGAGCGAGTGAGTGTGTACGGAGGGGGTAGTGAGAAAGGTGCAGATCAGTGTTAACCACATGGATGTTCTCACGAGATAGCGAGAGAGGTGGTTACTATGCTGGCCGTCCAAATGTGGGAGTTTTGGGAATTCGCAACAACCCTCAGTGTGCACAGTACATAGCTTCCTCCTGTTGTGGTGTTCTGAGATATCTAAATAACTCCATGCCATGCCGTGCCATTCACCCCATCCCACCTTACGAATCCAGCTACCTGAACGACAACAAGCTTGAGGGATCCATTCCAAGCACCATTGCTCTGCTGCAGAAGCTCTCATGGCTGTACGAAAGAGACCCTAGCTGCACGATTCACTCTTCCATGTTGCCACACGCATGCAACGTTGCTGGTGGCCTTTGAAAATCATGAAAATGGTCTTGAAAACGTTGCATCTCTTAAGCACGTGCATTGCTGCGCATCACTGCATGTATTCAAGTCTCCTTAGAGATTTCTCAAACTCACACTGCTCTTCTGGTGCACGCCCCACCACACCTCATATTCACCACTTTTCTCCCACCCCTCTCACCCAACGCCTGCCCGTCTCACCATTTCTCCTCCTGCCCCACTCATCACACCCACCCCTCTCTCCTCGCCCCTTCTGCCCTCCAGTTGCCTTTCCCACAACTCTCTCACTGACGGCCTCGACAACCTCTTCCCACTGACCAATCTGCACGGCCTGTGCGTGAAACCACTCCTGCTCTCCATCCACCCCCTCCCATCTACTCTCCCACACACCTCTCTCCCTCCCCCCTTTCCTCGTTCGTTCACATCCCTGAACCTCCCCTCCCTCCCCAAGAAATCCTTCTTCCCTCGCCCCCAGTTGATTCCTCCATCCCTCACTCTTCCCCACCCATTCTCCCCACCTCTCCACCCATTGCACTGCATCCATTTGCACCGCACATCACCCAGGGAGCTATCCAACAACGCCATATCTGGCCCGATCCCCTCTGCCTTGGGAGACCTCGTCCACTTGGAAAACCTGTGAGCTTTACAATCCATGCAGATGCAGTGCGCATGGGGGAGAGTGAGATGTGCAGGTGGGTGCTCTGTCTGCCCACGTCCAGTGACGCTGCTGCCGCAGAAGCTGCTGTCTCCTGCCTGCTGTCCCCAAGTGTGCATGCACACTTTGACTGTTCCCCCCCCACTTGTTGCTCACTGTTGCCCTCTCTCGCCCACCCCAACGGTCCCTCCTTCAGGGATCTGTCAAACAACATGCTGTCAGGCACCATCCCCGCTTCCATGTCCAGCCTCGCCAGGGTTGCAACTCTGTATGTGCTCCCCTCGCTGTGTGCCTTCCCCTCCCCTCCCGGCATGCCTTCATCCCCCCCTGCATGCCCAACCTCCCTGCCTATGATGGATTTGACGCGCTCAGCGTTTTGACGCTCTTGACGCCCCCTGTCTGAGGGGTACCCCCAGTTTGACGCTCTGGCGGGCAGGCAAAAAAAAATCTCGGGCAGGGGTGAAAAAAACTTGGTGCAGGGGGGCTAGTAAGAGAGGTTGGGGGGGGTGGTGGGGGATGATTTGTAGGACAAGTGGGCAGTCATGGGAAAAAAAGTTCTTCATAAATAAAAGCATGCATACATCAAAGTTTGCCTCAATTACATAGCACATGCATCTACACCCTCATCCACATGGAGTACGTGTCCAAACTATGGCACGTACTCATCCACCAGCACCTTGTTCTCCATGTCGTCAGCCTCCTCCTCCTCCTCCTCCTCCTCCTCCTCCTCCTCCTCCTCCTCCTCCTCCTCCTCCTCCTCCTCCTCCTCCTCCTCCTCCTCCTCTCCCTCGTGAACAATGTATTCCTCGGGGACTTGGGGCTCGGGAATGTTCCCCGTGACCACCCCTGTCCCCCCCGCCGGGCCCTTGTTGTAATTATGCACAACCTTCCAGTTGTGCGCCACATAAACCAGGTCTCGGCACTTCTCCGAGCCGAGCCGGTTGCGCCTAGCAGTGTGCACCGACTCCCACACTGCCCAGTTTCGCTCGCAGCATGCGGCGGAAACCGGCTGGGAGAGCACACGGATAGCAAGGCGCTTGAGCTCGGGATAGTCTCCCCCGTGCCACTGCCACCAAAGGACCATGCTTTTCGTCCCGGCCTTCACCACCTCACGCGCCAACCTCGCCGCACGACTACCAAAGCTCCCCGTCCCGTTCAGGTACGCCATCACTGCCTCCTCCATGTCATAAGGCCTCCCTCCCGAGCCACCCACCCCTCCCCTGTACTTCTCGATGTAACCAACGGCGCGCTCAATGAATTCCTTAAACACCTTTGTGCATTCAATGGCCTCCCCGAATATCTCCTCGTCCTGGTTGGCTGGATTAAGAATCCGGCCAGCCACATGCATTGCGCAAGCCATGGACCAGGGACCGCTTAACAGCGAAACATGCAGGTACGTGGCAGGGCGTACAACCTCGGTGACGTCCTGTTTGGTACAGCCCGACGTCCTCTTTGGTACAGCCCGACGTCTTGTTTGGTACAGCCCGACGTCCTCTTTGGTACAGCCCGACGTCTTGTTTGGTACAGCCCGACTTCTTGTTTGGTACAGCCCGACGTCCTCTTTGGTACAGCCCGACGTCCTCTTTGGTACAGCCCGACGTCCTCTTTGGTACAGCCCGACGTCCTCTTTGGTACAGCCCGACGTCCTCTTTGGTACAGCCCGACGTCCTCTTTGGTACAGCCCGACGTCCTGTTTGGTACAGCCTGACGTCCGTGTGGAAACCCTGTGAGCGATGAGATTCAGCTAATGTGCGTGTGAGGGGGAGTGTGATGTGCAAGTTGACGTCCGTGTGGAAACCCTGTGAGCGATGAGATTCAGCTAATGTGCGTGTGAGGGGGAGTGTGATGTGCAGGTGGGTGCCCTGTCTGCCACTGCAAGCAATGCAATGCCAGTGTTGCACTACTGTTGCAAAGCCTGTGGCACACTGCGATTTGGGAGTGGCAGGTAGGCTCTGCGGTTGTGAGGATTTAGGGTCTACTGAAGCCGCTGCTCCAAAAGCTGCTGTTTTCTGCCAGCTGTCCCCTCGCTCAGTGCCTTCTATCGCCCTCTGCCGGCCTCTGCCGGCCTCTGCCGGCCTCTGCCGCCCTCTTCCGCCCTCTGCCACCCGCTGTTGCCCACCTGAAAGGTACAAACTTTCAGGAAGCTTTCAAACAACAACAACCTTCCAGGCACTATCCTCCCTTCCATCTTGCTTTTGAGACGTCTCAATATTCGATCATTATCTCGTGGATTTATAAAATCAGTGCCCTCTGCCGCCCTCTGCCGCCCTCTGCCGCCCTCTGCCGGCCGCTGTCACCCTCTCCCGCCCTCTGTTGCTCTCTGTCACCCACCTGAAAGGTAACCCCTTTCAGTCAGCTTTCAAACGGCAACAACCTTCCAGGCACTATCCTCCCTTTCATCTTGCTTTTGGGGCGTCTCAAATCTTGATCATTATCTCGTGGATTCATCAACTCTGTGCCCTGCCCTCTCTCTGTCCACCTGCATGGTCCACCTGTTCAGAATCCTTTCAAACAACAACCTTACAGGCACTATCCCCACTTCCATCTCCGACCTATGGATGCTCTCGACTCTGTATGTGCTCCCCTCTCTACCCCTCCGTACATGGGCCATTTCCTCTCTGCACGTCCTCTTCTCTCTGCACATCCTGTCCTCTCTGCACATCCTTTCCTCTCTGCCCGTATTTTCCTTTCTGCCTGTCCTTTCCTCTCTGCCCCTCTTTTCCTCTCTCCCTGTCCCTTCCTCTCTCCCTGTCCTTTCCTCGCACGTCTGCACCTCCCTGCTTGTACTCATCTCGGTCTGTGCTTTCCTCCCTGCACGACCTCCTCCGCTCAAGCGCTCCATTTGTTAATGATGAGCCTGGGAACATTGAGGCCGCATCACAAGGTGCATCATATGGAAATCTATGCCTTCATCCCTAGAGCAACCCGTACGGGATCTCCGCTTCATCATATCCACACATGTGATGTCTCTCCACGCCCTTCATCTGACACTTTTCACTCTGTCCGCATGCCGAAACTGATTATCAAGAATTCTAAAAAAATCAGAGATGTAACGTCTAAGTTTCTTTGGGGTGCGCTTGGGGACTTGTAGGTCACCTGGAGAGTAGTCGGGTTGACCCTGTATAAGCGGAAGTTGTTATCTTGATGATAGTGGTGAGACGGCTTACCAATGAAAACCGTCTACTGGTGGAGACCTTACAAAGCAACCGACGAGTGCTGACGGAACTGACCAGCAACCGACCAGCCCTGGTGGAACAGTTGCCCTCTTCTTGCGTCTCCCTCCTTCCTTCCCCTTCCCCCATTTCCCTCGTTATTTTTTCCTCTCCTTCCTTCCCTCCCCTCTGTTCCCCCTGGTTATCTGCCAGGAGGCTTGACGGCAACGCGTTGGAATCTCCTATCCCTGAACGCTTGAAAGCTAGCATTTTGTGAGTTATGCTCCGGTGCTTGATGTGATGTCGATTTTTGAGTCGACTAAAAAATCGACTCACTACTTGATGTGATGTTTACGGCATGCCTCAGCAAGCAGAGAGGCATGAATCATGAGGCACGTAAGCTGTAGGTGGTGCATGCAAGCCCACCGGCCTCTCTAGTGTGTGCATGCACGGGAACACGCATGCTAGAGACACTTGCAGCATGGATGCCTATGGGAGCAGTGATCTGTAAGGTAGTTGGCTGTCGAAATTGCGTTGTGTTGTGAAGCGAGTGGCGGTACTTTGACAACGGATATTTTTAGTGCACGAGTGGACTGCAGTGAAGCGACTCAGAAGGCTTCTCTTAGTGCTGGAGTAATCTTTGAGTCGAACCAAACGCTTTGAGGACCCCAAAAGCTTTTCCTGGAGCTGGAATGCACTGATGGCACGAATGAGATTGGAAAAGAGAGTATGTGGGTATGATGGGGTGATGGTGTGAGGGTATGAAGTGACTGTAAGTGAGGTATGTGTGAGTATGGGATTATTGTGATAGTATGTGGATATGGAGTGACCATAAGAGGGACAGCTGTGTGAACATGGGCCGTTCTACATCCCCTTTCCCCCGTCTCCTCCATCGCTTTGTATCTCTCACCTGACTCCCTCTCTTGGCAACGTCAGGGATCTGAGCAACAACAAGTTCTCAGAGGACATTTCAACTTTCACCTGGATGGAAGGGGAGCACTTGTGAGCGCATGAGTGCATGCGACAGCATGAGTTACTTGATATGCAGCTCATTAGGGCTGAGAGCGTGACATCACGAGAGCGTGTGAGCATGTGAGCATGTGAGTGCATGGGCATGTATCGGTCAACGTTAGTGCGCCTGCGATGTTAACACGTCTTGGTACCTCTGCATGGTGCCCACATGCACCCACATGCACAGTGATTGTCTGTCTGTGTGCATCCAGGTTTCCACCCCGCCTCCGCCCCTCCCCTCCCCCACCATCCGTCTTCCCAAACCACCTCATCTCCTCCCGTCCCTTTCCCCACTCCCCATATCTTCACAGGAAGCTGAGCCACAATAACTTCACAGGCAGCATCCCTGACTCCATGACCTCTCTCGATTCCCTCACCTACCTGTACGCCTCCTTCTCTCACACACCTGTGCACTGCACTCGCACATGCACCTGTGTGTTTCACTCAAACCAGAGTGTGGTACTATATTCTGCAGAAAGTCATGTTGAGTGAGAAACGTGGCCAAGTCCTGAACGAGGAGACATGGGGGGTGGGGCAGCCCTTGTGTTGGTAGGTACCAGCATGTGGGAGTCCCACAGGTAATCCTACCCTGTGTGGTGCCGGTGACAACGCAGCTTCAAGGGCTTTCTAGAGCGTTTCTGAATACCCGTGCTCCTGTGTTGAATACTGATGGCAGCCTAAGTTGGAATAAACGCGTTTAGCGTTTTGTACGCTCTCGTATATACGCGAGAGTATATACGCTAGACGCTGGCCTTGAGGGGTCTGGTACGCACAAGAATACGCTTGCCCGGGCAGGGAAAAACTTTTTCCCGGGCAGATTTTTGGGGTAAGAGGTGGGGATGGGGGGGTGATGTCCGCTTATTAATATGAAAGTTACAGAAAAAAAAACCCGTAAAACTAATTTACCACTACATCTTCCTCCACCACATTCATGCTACCACCCCTCCCCCTACTCTACATGTCCTAGTACTCATCGGCCATCACATCATCCTCCCCCACCTCAGGTTCTTCCACCTCCTCCTCGACGTTGTAGCCAGCCGGAGTGGGGGGGTCCTCGATGTTTCCCTTCACCACCCGCTGCCCTTCAGGGACCTTGTGCCAGTTATGCACAACCTGCCAATTGTGCGTCACGTACACGAGGTCCCGAAGCTTCTCCGCGCCGAGCCGGTTCCGGCGTGCCGTATGCACGGCATCAAACTTCGCCCAGTTCCGCTCGCATGGTGACGCGGACACCGGCTGCGTGAGGGCGCGGCAAGCCATGGTGGTGAGCTCCGGATGTTCGGTCCCATGCCACGACCACCAGGCCACCGCGGTCATCTTGCCCTCCTTCACTGCCGCACGGTCGGCAAGAGCGGCGGGCATGCCGAAGCTGCCTTGGAGGTTCAGGAAGGCATTGAGGCCTTCCTGGATGACGAGAGAGGCGCGGCGCTCGACCCCGTCCTTCCTGGTGGCTGTATGGTCGTCATAGTGCTTGGACACGTACTGTTTGAAGACCCTCGTGCACTCCAGGTCGGTGCGGAAGATGCCCTCTTCCTGGTTGGGGGGGTTGAGGATGCGGCCAATCACGTGCATGTTGCACGCCAGCCCATTGTCCCAGCGGTCCTGCACGATCTTCCGAATTTCCCCCACCTCTCCCCTTGACAGGACCCCTTCCGCATGCTCGTCAAGGAAGTCGCGGATGTCCTCGGTGAGCTGGAGCATAAGGTCGTAGAGACGACCCATCATGCCCTTCGCATCCGAGTCAGTCTTGCGCATGACGACGAACGGGAGCTTCATCAGCTTCGCAAAAAACTCGGCGCGCGTCCACCACGTGGCATCGAGGATGTTGTCTTTGAAGGTATCTGCCCCAACCCTCTTTGCAGCCGTTGTCCACTCGCGCCACTCATCGCTGAGGACCATCTGCATCAGGCCGGCGCGCACTTCATAGAGGCGGTTAATGGCGATGTAGTTGGTGCCGAATCGGGTTCCCGCGGGCTTGAGAACCTGCTTCCCCTTGCCGCCGTTCACGAGCTCGCTCCGCATGTATCCACGGGTGAAGTGATGGTTGCGGACGAACGAGATGAGGGTGTCCCCGCGCGTGACGATGTCCTTCGCCCATCCCATTTTCCCGATGTCCTCCATCAGGAGATCAAGAACATGGGTCGCGCAAGGGATGTGTTCGATGTGGGGATACTCCGTCATCAACTCCCTGCATGCCGCCGCGTAATTGGAGCCACCGTCAAAACACAAGGCGACGACGTTCCCGGGGCCAACTTTCTCGATGATGGGGCGCAAGATGCCCGTGATGTAGCCGCCGGTCTTCATCTCCATCTTGGTGTCGATCGACTCCGCGAACACCGCTCCGCTATCGTTGATGAGGAGCACATTGGCTTGCGGGCGGCCGGCGTTGTCAGAGAACATGTCGCTTGCCACGGTGACACCATCACGGCGCCAGCTTGCTGAGATAGGAGCGAGAGCCGCCTCAATGCGCTGGCGACACTTCGCAAGACCGGCGCCACCGATGTAGCGTCTCTTCGGCAGGATGTAATTCTGCCCCGCGCGCTGGATGCTTGAGACTACATTCCGCCACAGTGGGTGGTCCGCGTGATGCTCCGGCAGATGAAGAGCGGCGAAGAAGAGGCATATGGACTCGTCCGCAGCTTGGTTCGCGCACGCGGCGTCGTCGCCGTAGAAGTCGGACATTCGACTCTTCTTCTTTTCCGAACCTCCGCCGTTGACTGCGCCGACCGCCGCAATTTCAGCCGCACGCTTCTCTTCATGGGCCTTCAACTTGGACTCGTAAAGCGCCTTCACGGTGTCACGTGCAGTCTTCGGCGCTGCAGTGCAGAGATGCACTTCGCGACGGCGCATGCCGTTCCAGCCGGCGATATGCTGCGCGCAGCGGTAAACCCCGCCAGCGAACTTGAAGTTGCAGTAGGCACACACCTTGGTGTCGTTCTCGCCAACGCTGTCGGCCGGCACTTTGAAGTGGCGGTACACAGCGTGCTTGCTGTCCATGCAGACCAAAGCCGTAACAGAAGAGGTCCCTCCAGTGAAACTACCAGGAGCTTCTGAAGGTGTAGAACGAGAACTTGTTGCTGTAGGAGTAGCAGCCATGGTGGCTGGGGAGGAGAGGTAGCTAGAATAGGAAGCGAGAGAATGAATGTCGAGTGAACAAATGCCACTCTTTATGCCTGGGAGATTGGGTTGGGTTGAGCTCCCAATCAATAAAGTAGTGGTTGAAGGGGGTGGTGGAATGCTGTGGTTTAAAGGGGTGTGAAACAGTGGAGGGGTGGGGTTGAGGAGGTTTGGAGCTCAAAATTCAAAATTCGAGTTCAGTTCGCGACATCTGCGACTCGAAATAGAGATCGCCATGTCGCGAGATTCAGATTGAAATTTTGTTTTTTTTTTTTTTCGGTCTGCCCGAAATTCTACTCGGCGAATTTTCAAATTATTCGCAGCGTACGAATTCATTAAGTTTATAAACGCAAAACGCAAACGCAAAGTAGCGTATATTCCAACTTAGATGGCAGCAATGCAGTTTGAAAAAGACAAAATGTCATCTTCACCTTATTTCCCCTCCCCTCCTTTTCTCCCTCCCTCGCCCTCGTCCCCAATTCTCGCTTCCTCCAGTGATCTAAGCTACACATTGCTAACCGGCAACATTCCTACCGCCATCGCTGAAATGCAACATCTCCTTCGCCTGTAATCCTGACTTGGCAAAAACAAGATGGGACCTTATGCGTCCCAGGAACAACATGCATGTGTAACGTGCAAGGCTTTTATAAAAACTTTACGCGCATCTCAAAACTCGGAAGGCGCCTCTCCTCTTTTCTTCCTTGAGCGTCAAGGCCAGCCCAGTTGTCCCTGACTGACTTTAATGTTCTTCATGCCTCTCACTCACCCTTTCTCACTGCATGGTCTCATTTGCCCCTTGCATCGCCCTCTTCTCCTGCTGATCGCACCTCTCCACGTGACCATCCTCCCATGGTTCATCCTTGCTGCACCATGCCACCATGCACCCTAACTCATAACACCATGCACCCTAACACGTTCCACCATGCACCCTAACACATGCTGACATGCACCCTAACACATGCCACCATGCACCCTAACACATGCCACCATGCAACATTCCATTTGCCACCATGCACATCACCATGCATGGTCAACCCTCACGCAGTGACCTTCGCATACCAACACTCACGGGCTCCATCCCGGCCTCCATGGGCGCCATGCTCAATCTGCAGTACCTGTCAGCCGCCCCTCTCTTCCTCCCCTTCCTCTCCAACCCTCTTTTCCGCATCTCATTCGCACATGGCCTCCGTCCTCGGTAGGGCATGTCCTCTAAACTCCTCCCTACTGTGATTGCCACTCTTGCCTCACCACGAAGCTGCATCGATTTCCCGCTGCTGCTCCTCTTGATAGCTCCGACATCCAACCTCTGCTTAACGCCTGCTTGCCGTGTCATATTCCCATCACAGAAGACCTAAACCTATTATCTTCCCAAACCCTTCCACGGCGGCTCCTGCCGCCCACCTCCTCCCCCATTTCCTCCTCCTTCTTGGTCTTTGCTGCCTGGCAGTTATGTCAATCACAATGCGACGCCATGCGGTTACGGGAAGTGCGAGGTGGAGCAGTACTCTGGCACAGCCTTCTGCCGTGCCTGCACTGACTTCTGTGACACGTGCTCTCGCAAGGGTAAGGAGGAGGGAGAAGGGAGGTTTTGAGTTACCATGTTGCACTCGATTTCACCTTCGTGTGTTTAAGAGGGTGAGGAAAGAGGAACAGGGAAGCATGACGATATAGTGACGGAAGGGAGGTGGGTAGGAGGGAGGGTCAGACAGTGGGGATGCGAGATTGTTTGAGGAATGTGTTGTGAGGCACCGTATCTGTCTCCTCACACAGCACTTAAGCTCGTGTGAGTTGAGTTTAATGAATGAATGTGGCGGAGAGAGCATGGTTGGGGGAGACAGCACGGTTGGGGGAGAGAACATGGTTGGCAGAGAGAATAATGGGTGGGATGGAGGGTGAGCAGAGAGTACGATCCATGAAGTGTGCATGCTTTGCTCACACCCACATGCTCGCACCCGCGTGCCTGCACCACGTGGTTGTCTCTGTGTGCGTGCTTGTCCGTGAACGTGCTTGAGAGTATCACACAGGTACACACACACATACACACCCTCATGCATCCAATCACATCACACCCACCTTGTCCTCCCCTCCTCCTGCCCTGTTAACAGCCCCCAACCCTCCAAAGTGCCGGAAGAAGCGCCGTGCCTGCTCTCTCATGTCCTGCCCGGGCCGCATCTGCATTCCCTTCGTCCGAAGCTGCAAGGGCTACAAGTGCATCTGACTCACATGCATCCACGTGCATATCCACGTGTGCTATGCGTGCTTTTTCCTATTTTTCTGTATTTCCCTGGTTAGAAACCCCTTCAAGCTAGAAGTTTTTTGGCTCTCCGCCGGGGCCTCAGATTGGTTTTTGGTATCCTGAGCACTCGGTGTCCGTAGGAGGGTAACGTGTCAGAACATTATAGCTCATGCATATTGTGTAGGCTATAGTGGGGTAGCCCATAAGGGGTACAACCCAATTAGGGTCATTACTTGTACCCAATTCATTCATAGTTCATCCATTCCTTGTTTCTTCTCATGGTATCGAGCAGGTTCCCCCGTGGGAACTGTTCCTAGGGCCCACCGTTTTTTTTTCCTGCCCGGAGCCCACTCAGCCCCTGCCCGAGTCGCGCTCCCCTCTCTCGCGCCGCCCTAGCGGCCCCTTAGCGCCGCCCTCGCGGCCCCTTCGAGCCGCCCTCGCGGCTCTATCCGCCGCCCTTCGCGGCCCCTACTCCGCCGCCCTCGCGGCCCCGATCCGCCGCCCTTGCGGCCCTCGATCCGCCGCCCTTCGCGGCCCCGATCCGCCGCCCTCGCGGCCCCTACTCCGCCGCCCTCGCGGCCCCGATCCGCCGCCCTCGCGGCCCCGATCCGCCGCCCTCGCGGCCCCTTCTCCGCCGTGCTCGCGGCCCCTATCCGCCGCCCTCGCGGCCCCGCTCCGCCGCCCTCGCGGCCCCGATCCGCCGCCCTTCGCGGCCCCGATCCGCCGCCCTTGCGGCCCCGCTCCGCCGCCCTCGCGGCCCCGATCCGCCGCCCTTCGCGGCCCCGATCCGCCGCCCTCACGGCCCCTACTCCGCCGCCCTCGCGGCCCCGATTCGCCGCCCTCGCGGCCCCGATCCGCCGCCCTCGCGGCCCCTTCTCCGCCGCGCTCGCGGCCCCTATCCGCCGCCCTCGCGGCCCCGCTCCGCCGCCCTCGCGGCCCCGATCCGCCGCCCTTCGCGGCCCCGATCCGCCGCCCTCGCGGCCCCGCTCCGCCGCCCTCGCGGCCCCGATCCGCCGCCCTTCGCGGCCCCGATCCGCCGCCCTCACGGCCCCTACTCCGCCGCCCTCGCGGCCCCGATTCGCCGCCCTCGCGGCCCCGATCCGCCGCCCTCGCGGCCCCTTCTCCGCCGCGCTCGCGGCCCCTACTCCGCCGCCCTCGCGGCCCCGATCCGCCGCCTTCGCGGCCCCGATCCGCCGCCCTAGCGGCCTCCGGCCCCTGCTCCTACGGCCCCGGCGCCTGCTCCTACGGCCCCCGCGCCTACTCCTACGAGCAGCCCACCCGCCGAGCCGCCCAGCAACCGAGCAGCCCAGCCGCTGAGCCGCCGAGCCGCCCAGCAACCGAGCCGCCCAGCCGCCGAGCCGCCCAGCAGCCGAGCCGCCCAGCAGCCGAGCCGCCCTGCCGCCGATACGCCCAGCAGCCGAGCCGCCCAGCAGCCGAGCCGCCCCGCCGCCGAGCCGCCCAGCCGCCGAGCCGCCGAGCCGCCCAGCAGCCGAGCCGCCCAGCCGTCGAGTCGCCGAGCCGCCCTGCAGCCGAGCCGCCCGAACCGCCCTGTCCGGTAAGAGCAGCGCCTCTCTCACAGCACTGCCCTCACCCTACTGTTTGCACTGTTAGTCTACTGCTGTCATGGCTACCCCTAGTGTCCTCGCTTTTGACGCTGAGGGTCGGGCCATTGACTTTGACGTCTGGATAGATGACCTGCAGCTTTTCTTACAGTGCGGCAGAGCAGACGGCCTCTCCCTCTTTGACCTCACTTCTGGTGCCTCTCCTGCCCCCGCTGCTGATGCTGACGCCACTGTTCGCTCACAGTGGGCCACGCGCGATGCTGCTGCACGTCTTGCTGTGCGTCGCCACCTACCTACCTCTGAGCGTGCGCACTTTAGCCAGTACAAGAGTGCTCAGACCTTGTACGACGCTGTAGTTGCACGCTACTCCTCCCCTGCCACTGCTGCACTGAGCCGCCTCATGCTACCGTACCTCTTCCCTGACCTTGCTGCCTTTCCCACAGTCGCTGACCTCATTACGCACCTCCGCACTAGTGACACTCGCTACCGCGCTGCGCTTCCTGCTGAGTTCTGCGCCAAGAACCCCCCCCCCATGTACATCACCCTCTACTACATAGTCACCCGTCTCCCTGACTCCCTTCGCGTAGTCAGGGACCACTTCCTCTCGGTTTGTCCCACCACTCTCACCGTTGACCTCCTCGAGAAGGCCCTCCTAGCAGCAGAAAAGAGCATAGTCGCTGTAGGAGCCTCTCGTGGTGACCCTCGCACCCCCATCTTTGAGGGGTGTTCCCCCTCCCCTCTTTTGCCCTCTGTTGCCTCTGCTGCTGCGGCCGACCTCGCTGGTTTGGAGTCGGTTGGGGCAGCGTCTACCCCTAGCGGGAGACGCCGCCCTGGCAGGGGCAAGGGGGGCAGGGGCGCTGGAGGAGCTAGCGGGGGCGGTGGAGGCGGCGGTGGAGGCGGTGGAGGAGGTGGGGGTGGCGGTGGGGGTGGTGGCGGGGGTGGAGGTGTAGGTGGCGGCAGTGGAGGCGCAGGCGGCAGCGGCGGTGGCGGAGGGAGCGGAGGTGGCGGCGGTGGAGGAGGAGGCGGCGGAGGAGGTGGAGCTGGTCGGGGTGGCGCTGCGCAGAGGGTCAGCTCCGGTGGTGGTCAGCGCCAGCAGCAGCAGCAGCAGCAGTAGCAGCAGCAGCAGCGCACTCGTGACGTCCCCTCCCCTCAGCAGCTCCGTGAGTGGTACACTGCACGCCAGAGGGGTGGGGGTACTGGTCCGTGCACCTACGTCCTGCGCACTGGCGACCGCGCGGGTGAGCAGTGCGGGGGTGCGCACTCCACCCAGCGCTGCTTTGGCCGCCTGACGGACGCTTGGCGTCACCAGTTCCCTGAGGCCACTGAGATCCCCCGCTGGGGTGAGCTGTCTAGGGCGGGTGTAGCTGTCTTTAACCTTGACTTTGATGCTATTCTTGCTGCCATGTATACGGTGACTATTAGTGATGAGGGTGACTGTTACCGGTGTTTTCCGCCCGACCCGGGCATTGAGACTGCTGCTCTAGGTCCTGGTGAGGCTGCTGCTCTAGGTGCTAGCGAGGCTGCTGCTCTAGGTGCGTCTGCTCCCTCAGGTACTGGTGAGTCTGCTCTCTCAGGTTCTGCGTCGGCTTCGGCCTCCCACACCTTTACCCTTGACTCGGGGGCTTCTCGCTCCTTCTTTCGAGACCGCACCACACTCACGCCGCTTGGCCGGCCAGTTGCGGTCTCTCTGGCAGACCCCTCTGGGGGTCCTGTCCTTGCTCACTTCTCCACTGTCCTCCCGTGTCCGGCGGCCCCCTCTGGCACCCTGTCTGGTCTTTACCTCCCCTCGTTCTCTACGAACTTGGTGAGTGGTGCTGACCTACAGGATGCGGGGGTTCACCAGTTCACTCCTGCGAGTCAGCGGGTGACCCACTGCACGGACGCTCGGACAGGCCGACACCTGGCCACGTTTACACGTCGGCCGGGGTCGAGCCTGTACACACTGACCACTGCGTCTCCTCCGGTCCCTGCGTCTGGTCAGGTAGTTCCGTCGGGTTAGGTGTTTGCTGCAGCGTCCAGGTCTGGTCCTGAGTCTGCCCCCTGCTCGTGTCGCCTCCTGTCTCACGAGACTCTCCTCTGGCACCACCGCCTTGGTCACCCCTCCCTGCTTCGTCTCCGGAGCATGGCCTCCCGTGTCCTTGTCTCTGGTCTTCCCCGGTCCCTCCCTCCACTTCCTCCGGGGCCTGGCCCTACCTGCGTCCCCTGTGTCGAGGGACGACAGCGGGCTACCCCTCACTCCTCCCAGTTTCCTCCGACAGAGGCCCCGCTGCAGACGCTTCACATGGACGTGTGGGGCCCGGCCCGCGTCCGTGGACAGGGTCACGAGCGCTACTTTCTGCTGGTGGTTGACGACTACTCGCGTTACACCACAGTCTTCCCCTTGCGCAGCAAGGGTGATGTCACTGAGGTGTTGATCGACTGGATCCGCGCAGCTCGTCTCCAGCTCAGGCGGAGCTTCGGCTCGGACTTTCCTGTTCTGCGTCTGCACTCTGACAGAGGAGGAGAGTTCTCCTCTGGCCTTCTGCGAGCCTACTGTCGTGCACGAGGCATCCGCCAGACCTTCACGCTTCCGGACTCTCCACAGCAAAATGGGATTGCTGAGCGCCGCATTGGCATGGTCATGGACGTCGCCCGTACGTCCATGATGCATGCGGCTGCCCCCCATTTTCTGTGGCCGTTTGCGGTTCGGTACGCGGCGCATCAGATCAACCTTCAGCCCAGGGTCTCCATGCCGGAGACCTCCCCAGCCTTGCTGTGGACGGGGAAGGTTGGCGATGCGTCTGCGTTCCGTGTCTGGGGATCTCGGGCGTTTGTCCGCGACTTGTCTGCGGACAAGCTGTCCCCTCGTGCTGCTCCTTGCGTCTTCCTGGGTTTCCCCCCTGACGCCCCAGGGTGGCAGTTCTACCACCCCACCTCTCGCCGTGTTCTGTCCTCCTAGGACGTCACGTTCGACGAGTCGGTCCCCTACTACCGCCTCTTCCCCTACCGCACTCCGTCCCTCCCCCCGCCACCGCTCTTCCTGGTACCAGGTCCCCCCCCGGTAGACCCCCTCCCCCCTCAGGGTCCTGCCCCTTCAGGTGTGTCCCAGGTAGACGCTGTTGAGCCTGTCGAGGTCGCTGGTGACTCTGGTGCTGCTGAGGGTGCTGAGCCTGGGAGTGCTGACTCTGGGGGTGCTGAGCGTGTGGGTGCTACGCCTGGGGGTGCTGAGCCTGAGGGTACTACGACTGGGGGTGCTGAGCCTGGGGGTGCTGAGTCTAGGGGTGCTACGCCTGGGGGTGCTGCGTCTGGGGGTGCTGAGCCTGGGGGTGCTACGCCTGGAGGTGCTGAGCCTGGGGGTGCGGAGCCTGAGGGAGCTGGGCCTACTGGTGCTGTGCCTGGCGGTTCTCCGGGTGCTTCTTCTCGCCGGGAGCCACTCTCTCC